ACATGACCCCTAGGGCAGCACTAAAATAATGCACTTTCTACAGAACAAGGTGCTCAAAGGCTTAAATAAACTGTCTTCTCCAAACTGGCCATAATACTCCACAGAAGAAAAAAAAATTGTTCACCGTTACTAGCAGCATATGGGCTGGTCAAAAGCACTCAATCAAAACYGAATACAAAAAAGAAAAAACATCAGATGAAGAGGAGTCAAGGGCTTAGTGTTGCCTCTAGCCAGTCCTTAATCCTCTAGGTCCAAGTCTTGGCATCTACACAATGAAGTCAAATCCAACTTGTCTTAAGATTCCAAATATTCTCATGTTTCCATGAGAGCAAATGTTAAACTCTTGGGAAGCAATTTGGCAGATTTTATGAACAATTTGAAAAGCATACCTATAATCTGCATCTGCAATCTTTAATCTGATAAATTCTGTTATGCTCCAAAATAAGGAAAAAGCAACATGAACAAATGTGTTCATCATCATAACACAATACCACCAACAATTTAAAAGTAAGCTTAATGGGTTTTTTTGTTTGTTTTGGTACTGGGGATTAAACCCAGGGGCACTTAGCCACTGAGCCATATCCCCAGCTCTTCTCAATTTTTACTTTGAGACAGGATCTTGCCTGCTAAATTGCTCAGGTTCTTCCTAAATTGCTGAGGCTGGCTTTGAATTTGTGATCCCCATCTCAGCTCCCCAGCCACTGGGATTACAGGCATGCACCACTGTACCCCAAAAAGCTTAATGTTTAGTAAGTAATTGCTAAGAAAAATTATAGTGCACCAGTTTGGTGAACTATTACATGGCCATTAAAAATAGCAATAAAAATGCATATGCTATTAAGTAAGAGAGGAACAAAATCATGTTAATGTTATGATTAAAATTGGGGTTAAGGAGCTGGAGTTGTGGCTCAGCAATAGAGGCTTGCCTGGCATGTGTGAACCACTGGGCTYGATCCTCAGTGCCACATAAAAATTTTTTCACAAATATATATATAAATAAATATATTTTTTAAAAATTGGGGTTAAGTTCCTGGAATCTCATAAATTTTGGATAAAAATTTAGAAGATTATGAAGAAAAACCAAGATGGGATGGGGGTGTGATGAGCACTTGCCTAGCATGTAGGAGACACTGAGTTGATTCTCAGCACTGCATATAAATAAATAAATTAAAGGTACATAAATATCTTAATAAAAACTAAAAAAAGCACACCAAATCTCCATGTCATATTCAGCATGTCACTTTCACCTAGAAGAGTATGTTAAAACAGGAACTCAACTACTGAAAGAATAATCTTCCAAAGTAACCAAATGATAGCATAGCCTGCCTTTTTTTTAAAATTTTTTTTATGAATSTGGTTAGAATAAGACAAAGCAAAAAGTTTTGATCAGGACAGCAGAAAAGCTCACCTGCAGATCACCACTTAAGTCAGTGATTGTGCTGGAGAAAGTGAGTGCCTAGGATGCACAAGACCCAGGCCTGGGTTTAATCTCTAGCACCGCAAAACAAAAAATAACAAAAGCCAGTTGTTGCCCACAAGTCCACCTATCAAATTGAGACAGGATAAATCACTGAGATATTCATTTGTACTGTGCCTGTTGCTGGGATATCCCCCACCACCACCATTCTAAGAATTTAGACCTCGCTGTTGCTTTGAGTACAGTTGTATCACTGKGCCTAAAGCAAAAGTTTCTTTAGCTTTCACTTTTTGGAAGCATAATTTTCCAAGAAGATTTTGCTAGTGGAGCAGGGGAAAGGACATTGGAGCCAGCAGTGTGTGCCTCCTCAAGCCATGCAAAAGATTGGTTTGGATGGGTACAGGAATTTTGAGGGGATGATAAAAATATTCTAAAATTGGACTGTGTTGATGGCTGCACAACTCTGTAAAATTTAACAAAAGTCAATGAATTAAGTGGAACACTGGCTCAGACAGGAGAATCCCAAGTTCAARGCCAACCTCAGCAACCAAGGGAGGTCCTAAGCAACTTGGCAAGACCCCATCTCAAAATAAAAAATAAAAAGCGGGGGCTGGGGTTGTGGCTCAGTGGTAGCGCACTCACCTAGCATGCGTGAGGCACTGGGTTCGATCCTCAGCACCACATAAAAACAAAATAACGTGTCTGCCTGAAACTGAAGATAAATAAATGTTTAAGAAAAATAAATAAAAAGGGCTGGGACTATAGCTTGGTGGTAAAGCACCCTGAATTCAATTCCCARTAGCTCCACTCCTATCAATCAATCGATTACGGAGTGGATTTTATGGTCTATAATTTTACCACTCAATAAAGCTGCTTTTAAAAAGACTGATCAAATTTATGGATGTTTATGATTTTTTTAAAAAGAAAGAAAAAAAAGAACCAAGACTCTAATTCTGGAAAGCTGAGGTCAAAGATCAAGGACGCTTCACCAGCTTTGTGAGTCGCTGTCTCAAATAAAAAGCAAAAAGGTCTAGGAATGTAGCTGTTATTTTTCCTACAAACACACATAAATACAAACGGCACACAATTGAAATGGTAAAAGAAATAAAATCATTCTATTACTTTTATTCAACTGTCAAAAGTTCTCTGAAAATCATTTTTGAAAAGCTAATAGGCACTACTAGGGGAAAACCATTAAAAAAACTGTACTATCTACCTCAGGGATGATCACTACTCACTACTGCCCAATACTGGCAATTCTTTCTAAAAATAAACTATTATTCCCATTTTTGAGTTAAAGGAATCTAAATGTCTTTCTGGGAGCCCCGAAAAACCAAGATGAATGAAAATAGCCAAGTACTCCACCTCCTTGCACTTCCTTTCCCTAGTCCAGAGTTCCATAAAATAATGGGAGGGGAGATATTTGCAAGTTTGGAAAACAATGAGACTATATACATGATCCCTCTTCTTGTTTACTCCAAATTTCTTTCTCATTAATTTACTACAGAGTTCACGCATTTGCTTTATATCCTCTAGATTATCAGTGCCTTCTTAGGTATTTAACATTTCCTGATGAATAAACTAGAACAGAACTACAAATGGATGTTTACAATCTGACTGCTCTTAAGCAGAGAAAAAGTGAACTATTGGTTAACTACAATGGAACAGAAATGAAAACTGTTGTCATTTGATATGTGAATTTAGCAGGAAACCAGAAAATCAGTAAAATAACCCAGACACCACGGCACAATAAAAACTGATACAGAATTATCTTCCCAGYAAGATGAATTACAAAATGGGAGTGCCTAAACCAAACTAGGGGCAGCATGAAACAAAGAGAAATAGATGAAACAAACTAGTAGATAGATAATCTTTATAATCTTTTTTTTTCTTTGTACTGGTGATTGAACCCAGGAGTGTTTAACCACTAAGCAACATCCCCAGCCCTTTTTATTTTGAGAGTGTCTTGCTTAAGTTGCTAAGGGCTTCAATAAGTGGCCTAGGCTGGCCTTGAACTTTCCATCCTAAGCCTCCAGAGCTACTGGGATTATAGGCATGTGCAACGCTGCCCTGCTAAGACAGATAAACTAGGTGTTTCCATACTGACCAAGCAATTTTTATCTTGATTTCTCTCTATATTTTACATGCAGCCTAAGAAAGAGTAAGAAATGGGTAAAAAACAGTGCTTTTGCCCATTTGCTGCTGTTGGCAAGGAGAACACAATAGACCTACATTCTATATTATGATGCTACCAGATTCAATTATGTCAGACTATGTCATTCTGTTTACTTTTCCTCATAAGTCAGAATGTTTTAGCACAGAAAATTCTCAGTATCTACTTGCCGATTTAGGTTAGCTATAAAAGGTATCAGAGGTGGAGGGCCCAAAAGTCCAGTTCTTTCTTATTTTGGAGGACCTGAGGTCCATGTGGCTAGTCGGTTGCAGAACATATTTAATTATAGTCTTTAAAACTTCCAATTCTCTTAGAAATGAGTCTAAAGAGAATATTATAGGAACTGACTTTAAAGGGACCCTTATAAATGTATAGATTTATGACTAAGTTTTCAAAGTGTGAAATTCATTATATCAGTTATAAGGCAGGAGGAACTCAGGTAAGGGCTAACTGAAGAAATAATACTCCTAGTTAAAATTCAAGTTATAAATTTTAATATCAAGTGCTCCACCTTTCCATACCCACATATTTAGGTTTCCATTGTTGACTTCTGTGTAAGTTGCATTCCTTCCTTTAGATGGTGTTCCTGAACAATTTCACTTTGGTTTTAATTCTGCCGGTAAAAACCATGAGTGGATTTTGTTTGAAGCCTAAATTAAAAGATCTCCTTGCTATTTAAAGGAACTATGGTAAACATGTTACAACAGTACCTGCAAACAAAGCCATATTGATGTGGCAGGCTTGGAATTGTAGGATAATAAATGAATATGATGAGCATGTATAAGCGTTGAACACATTTTACTTTTCTGTTAAATACACGGCTTATGAAGGGGGGAAAAAAGGCAATTCATAAGATGCTAGCAATGATTACATTTAAGTATTCACTTCTATTTATGGTGGAAGAATTAGCATATTCAACTTTTACTTATTAACATCACATATCATTTTTGCAACACAAAGAAAATCTCCTTCCCTTACAAGCAGTACACACCAAAACAAAAACTTTATTCTCTTTAGATATCAATAACATGAAAAACTCCAATTTCAAAAACCAACCTCTCTCATTCTTCAGCCCTGAAAGGAAGAACTTCCATCCCCTGAGAACAAAACGCAGACCGTCCAGAAACCCGCAGGGGCAAAAGGCCGGGAGAAGAGAACCCCTGTGACCGGGTTCTGCGTTCTCCTGGGTGACATCATTACACCTGCGCCTCGGCAAAGAGGGAGCGAGCAAGAGAGCGGGGCCATCTGCCAGGCGGCAGAGGGCCGGCGCTCATGCTAGCTGCGCTCGCACGCCTCGCCGCCGCTGCGGGAACAAAGAAGCTGGGGCACTCGGGCCAAACCTCACGGCTACCACCGGTCCGAGGCCCGACCCGCCCTCGCGCGGGAACCAACGGCCATTGCTGCCAGTACCTGTGAGGGGAGGCTCCGCCCTGCGGGGCTGCTCCCGCGGCTTCTTGCTGGGCCGCCGCCTCCTATTGTGACCGCTCGCCCAGCCAGCGGCCAGCTCGCCAGCTCCGCCGTCCCCGGGCCTCCTCACCCCCGGAACCCGGGCTCCGACTGAGGCGCTGTCACGGCGCTTCCTTCCTCCGGGCACCATCACACGGGCCGCGCCAAGAAACGACGGCTGCACACAGAGAGCTGAGAGCTGAGAGCCGTCTAACACCTTGGACGCCCCATTCTCTCCGCCCTGCGCCCCAACTGCCCGGGGCTTCGCCACTGCCGCACCGCTGCACGAGGGGGCCCCGCCCCACCGCACCCAGCCTCGGCCCTCGCGGACCCGGTCTCGCCGCGCGCCGGCGCACTGTTTTCCGCTGCGTGCGCAGGCGATGCCCCTCCCATTCCTGGATGCTGCCCCCCCCGCGCCCCGCCCCCTCTCCGACACAAACCTAGCAAGCCCAGAGCGCGAGACCGCCTGAGCGCTCCGCCCCTTTCCCCCTCAGCCCTACTCGCTGAGCCGAGTCCCCTTTGTTTCCACCCCGCGGGGGCGGGGCAGCGCTTGTCTCAGCGCTCTCAGAACCAGTTCCGGCAACAGAGCCTGACGCGCAGCGCCACTGCGCAGCCCCGCCCCAGCCCGTTGCGCGGGTGCTCTGGCAGTGCTGCCTAATTCGTTTTCTCCTAGGTATGTTGTTACTGTTGCTCGGTACCTACCACTCCCAAATTCAGCAAACAATAATCTCATCGAATTCTCAAATACGTATTCTGTGGCCCAAGAGAATGGAAGTTTTTATTAATATAGACAAAATTGTCTCGCAAGGGTTGAGCAAGCTGGTTGGAACCCAACTTGGACTAAAGCTTCACAGGTCTGATAGTTATTCAAACCTTGCTGCAGAGTGTGAAAATAAGGATGCAGACTGAAGTAGGCTTGGTTCCCGAAAATGTTCAAGATCCAAGAGAGAAGACTATTCATAAAAGCACAATAAATGATAAAAATTGTTAAATGGTATTGTAGTGGGGAGGGAGGAATTGGGGAGAGCATCACAGAAGACGKGGGATTTTAAAAGTAGAAGTTAGAAGATTCCTACAAGGATGGTGAGGTTTTCTTTTTTGGGGGACGGGGGTACTAGGAACTGAACCCAGAGGCACCTGTAAGCCGCTTGCCCAGTGGGGTTCTGTATGTTTTAGGATCTCGCTAAATTGTTGAGGCGGCTTTGAATTTGGCAATCCTGCCTGTTAACCTCCCCAGGTGCTGGGATTATAAGGCAAGCGCCACCACGACCGGAAGATGGTTAACATATTTTAAAGGTGACTAGGTCYAGTCAGCAGAATACCAAAGTTCTAATTCTTTGGGCATTACTTAAACCTGTTTCCTTCCCTCTCTGGACCTCAGCTGCCTCAAAGTAAGAAATGAGGGAATCAAGCTAAACTGATGTTTCAGAACCCTCTAAACCTTGTACATTCTATTTATGAAGGAAATAACCGTGTACACTTGTCTTCCATATCACAATAAAGCACCAGATCTGAAACCAAACAGCAAGCGCATACTAATTCCAGGGCAAAGGAAAGCTGAAATGAGATAACAGGTCCCTATGAACATATATCCCCCTACACTCTTTTTAATGTAGAGTTATCTGCCAGTCTTTAAAAATAGCCAGCTTGGAGATAACATCCAAATAATTTTTTTTTTCATTCGATGGCTCAGTTAAAGTCTCAATCACACCTTTAGGTGCACCCAGTATAATTCATTTCTAAGCGCTGGGTTCCTCAACAATTCCCACTTCACTGCTGTGGATTTGCCTCACGTTACAGCTCTTCCATCAGAATCTCAGCTAAAACAGAAAGCTTTTCATGCATAATGCCGACCACCCTGAAACACCTTTTCCTTCATGCTTGGTTATGGGCTATTTTATGGGAAAAGGGAGAAGAAAATTGGGAAATTGAAGGTAAATTACCAATTATAAAAGGTGGATTCCTGTGCTAATTACAGCAGCCAAAAACCTCTTAACAATTGTCTTTCGTTCCTCATAAGCTTAAGTGAATTTTTCTGCCATTCAGTCAAACTTTTGTGAGGAAAACTCCTTGAAAACCTTTCAAACAGTTAAGATCGTAACTGAGCTCTGAGAGCTTAACCTGCAAAGTCTGTCAAGATGTAAATAATGCTGCCACAACTCCAGGTTGGATAGTTTGAAGTTTCTACTACAATTTCTTTAAAGATTCCTTAACCAAAAAATCTAGTGCTAGTACCCAGTGGGCAAATAGGCTTTTAAGGTAGGTCAATTTCAACAACTAAATGACAAGGATTAAATTATATCAGAGCAGCTCCTCAACAACTAACTGTTCAATCAAAATTTTACTTGCTGTCTGTCCACAAAGGTAGAAAATCCTGTTGGAGAAATATTTAGTAAAGCTTTCTACAATGATAGAAATGTTCTACATCTGCACTATCCTAAAGGTAGCTACTAGCTAGCTACATGTATCTACTGAGCACTTAAGATTGTGGCTAGTACAACTAGTGAACTGATGAAAATCCGTTTAAGAGGAACAYATGGTTAGGGGACAGCATAGCATTTGTAGGAAAAGTAGTTGCTGTATCAAGAGCTTTTTGAGAATTTAAGACTGCCCTTTACAACTGGTTTTATTGCTCTTTACAACTGTGAATGCCTACTAAAAAAATGTTTGGCTGGAGATAGGGAAATATTTAAGCTTTTAAAACAAAAACAAACCAAAACCAAACCTGCTTACCAAATAGGAAAATATTTAAATGCCTTCAAATGAGTCTGGTAGTTAATGAGATTGTCGATCCTGGAGTCCTGCCATTCTTAATACACAAGAATAACAGCAGCCATCACAAAACTTAATTTAGGTATCTGCCACTATACTGAAATGCACATAATTTTAGAATTAATCACCAAGTGAAGTTTATGTAACAGTCCCCTGCTTATTTGTTACAAGTGTTTTATAAATAAAAACAAAATAAACTTAATAGGAAATGACATTTTAAAGATCACCAAAAGAATGTCAGCAATATTAAAAATATATATTACTACATCATATTTCTAATTATGCAAGATATTTCACAATAAAGCAAGGTGGGAACTATTTAGAAACACATAATACTATGTACTAAATAAATTTCAGATAGTTTTATTAACTTTGTATCCTTTCTGAGCTAAGAAAACACAATAAATATCTGAATGGAGACCAACTTCCTAAAACTTAAAATAAGGCATATTTTAAAGGAACACACCAATAGATTTGGCCCTCCAAATCACTTTAGTTTCTTTAAATGAATAATTTCTTTGAATAAAATAAAAATYACTTAAAAATTAAAAGGCAAAATGGAAAAACTTTTGCAAATACGCAGATGATTAATGTCCCCCATAAAGTGATGACAAAAAGGAATATCCCCACAGAAGAGAAAATATGTGCAAAAAGACACAATTCAAAAGGAAAAAAAGCAATCTAAATGTCTTCAATTCTAAATCTCCACAAAGAGTGATTCTCCAGAGGGAGAACCATCATGTTTTTCTTGATCACTCCTAACAAAAGAAACACACCATTAATTTTTCCCACTTGAAAAATTGTTTGGGGTTTGTCTATTGTTGTTATCCTGTTTAAGAAATCCTCCAGAAGCTTGGAATGTAGCTCAATGATAGAGCAAATGCCTAGAATACCTGAATTGAGCACTACAAAAAAAGGAAGGAAGAAAAACAGAAAGACAAAGTAGGGGATGGATGTGGGTGGGGAAGGGATGTAAGGAAAGGAAAAGAAACTTGCCAGGCTGGGGATATAATTCAGTAATAGAATGCTTGTCTAGCATGTGCAGCAAGGGTTAGCTTCCCCCCACCCCAAGCAATACATACACACACACACACACACACACCCCAAAAAAGAAGAAAAAGAAAAAAAATAACAAAAAAACCTTCCTCTACACTTGGATCATAAAGATATTTTCCCATATTATTTTCTTAGAGTTTTTATACATCCCTTTTCACATTTAGATCTATACATGACCAGGAACTGGTTTTTGGTAAAGTGGTAACACTGGTTTTTGCTTTTGTTCCACGTGGACATCTGTTTGACACAGCATCACAAAATGAAAAAAAAAAAAACAAAAACAAAACTGTTGTTTCCAACTGCTCCTCGGCCAAAAAACCAAGTATCTATATACCCATGGGTTTGTTTCTGGGCTCAACAGTCTATTCTACTAATCAATTCATTCTTGTGCCAATACCACACTATCACAATTACTGTTGCTTTATAAGACCTCTTTTTATGAGTTAGCACAGGTTGTCTTTTTTATTACCCCCTAAAAAGTACCATGGCTTTTTAAAAAATTTCCACGGGAATTTTAGAATAAGAATTCAAAGGAAAGAACAGAATAGAGGAAAAGAACACAGGAAACTTGCTGAAGAGACGAATGAAGGGATACTGATATCTTCATAATACTGATATCTTCATAATACTTCTTATCTATGAGTCAGATGCATCCTTCCATTTAATCTTTAATTTTTTAAAATAATCTTTCACAGTATTCTGCAGTGGTGCTGCATATTTTAGTTCTTGGATTTGTTCTTTAAAAAAATACACAATTTAATTATAAATTACAATAGTTCATCTAAAAAACTTTTTGAATTTTTTAATTTACATTTATTTAGCAGAAAACAATGACTGTTGAATTTCTTTTCAACATTTTCATTTTCTGGTCTTACTGCACTGCTTAGGACCTCTAGTCCTAAGCTAAAGCAGTCCYAAGCTAAAGAGTCATGGTGAGAGCAGTTATCTTTTTTCTTATTCCAAATCTCAAGTGGAAACTTTCAATTTTTAAGTATTAGATTTGCAGTGGTTTTTTGTACACCCCTTTAGCAAATTCAGGGAGTTGGTTCAAATTTGGTAAGGTTTATTAAAAATTAGCATTTTTGTCAAAATTTTCTGCAATTGATAATTATGATTTTCTGTTAATGTATGATTTAGACTGGTTTTCGGCTGTTTGGGTTTGGCTTGTGAATATTTTGCTTAGAATTTTACATTTGTATTCTTAAGTGAGACTAGTGGTAATTTTCCAATTTTGAATGTCCTTGTCAAGTTTTATTACAAAGATTTTAGTTATGGGCTGGGGATGTGGCTCAAGCAGTAGCGTGATCGCCTGGCATGCGTGTGGCCTGGGTTCGATCCTCAGGCACCACATACAAACAAAGATGTTGTGTCCGCCAAAAACTAAAAAATAAATATTAAAATTCATTCTCTCTCTCTCTCTAAAAAAAGTTTTTAGTTATTCAGGGAGTATTCTTTCTCTCTTTCCTATTCTCTAGATGCACTGTTGTAAGATTGGTGTTATGACTCTTTTA